GCCTTCGATTCAAATGATCTGCAATCAAGATTAGAACGTGTGAGGCTCACTTTAATCATGCCCTGGTAACGTAACTTTGGTTTCCCCACGTGCCGCTTCCCAATACTCAGCTGACCATATAACAGCTGCTTCGGTATCCGCATCGAATCCGTACGGCTCACATGACCGATCCACCTCAGGTGTCTCAATAAAAGTATGCAGTCCATTGCACACATCCCACTTCGGCGCAACACTTCTGTGTCTGCAACTCTGTCGCCCCAGCCGATGCGCAAAATTCGTCGCAGACACTGCTGATGGAACCGCTCGAGATATCGCACATCCCGCAAGTACATCGTCCACGTTTCACTGCCGTATCGAAGAACGGACAGCACCATGAATTTGTACACCATCGGCTTCGTGCCAATGCTAAGCTGATGGTTGTTCCACACTCGTTACTCTAGCTTCCCGAATGCCGCCGCTGCCTTCGAGACACGGATACGCAGCTCACTGTGTAGCTGCTGATCAGTCGACATCACGCTCCCAAGGTAGCTGAAGCGGGAGGTGGTTTCTAATACTTCAACACCAATGCCGATTCGCGGCAATATTGAAGATTGCACCTCCAGTGAAGGCTGAAAAAGAGACAGACAGATTTGTTTCTGTGGACCGTGAGACCGAACTTCGCAGCTGTCGAAGCCAGAACACTAGTCATGTGCTGCAACTCATCCGCGCTGTGTGAAAACAACGCACAGTCGTCAGCGAACAGCAACATACGAATAATTGTCTCACAGACCAGGGTTTTCGCACCGAAACGACGGATGTTCAGCAATCCACATCAATACGGTGCTCCACACGAACACCGTAAGCACAAGCGGCATCAAAAGCACAGGACATCATTGCATGAAGATATATATTAAACAGGGCAGGAGCTAAGACACAGCCTTGCTTCACACCAGAGACAACTGCAAAGTCATCCGAGGTCTCTCCACTCAGCTGCACCTTCGCTCGCATATCACTGTGTAGACATTCAATTAAACTTACAAACTTACGCGGGCAACCAAACTTACCCAACACCAGCCACAATGCCTCGCGGTTCACCGTATCAAATGCCTTGGTGAAATCAACAAAAAGCGAGTACAATGGCTGGTGTCGTTCTCTGCACTTCTCTTGCAACTGACGAGCCGCAAACACCATATCTATGGTGTTGCGACCCGAACGGAATCCGCATTGCTCTTCCGCCACGTTAGGTTCCACAACCTGACTGACGAGGCGGTTGAGCAGGATTCCGGCAATCACCTTGCCCACACAACTCAGCAAGTTGATGCCACGATAATTCGTGCAACATTGCTTGCTACCTTTGCTTTTGTACAGTGGTAGCACAAGGGCATCCTTCAGCTCAGCAGGCACACCCTCCTCAATCCATACGCGTTGCACCAAGTGGTGCAGCGCAGCCAACAACGCGGGTCCGCCGTGTTTCAATACTTCAGGCGGGATCCAGTCGGCCCCGGCACACTTGCCGTTTCGCAGCTGAGCAAGTGCTCACTGCGTCTCATCCAGTGTCGGCGTGTCCGCCAGATTCGCCTTCACATCGTGCTGCTTGAGGCCGTTCAATGTAGGCCAGTCGATCTCTGAACGGTTGTTCAAGAGACAATCAAAGTGTTTTTGCCCGATCTGCATTATGTCTGCAGTCTGTGTGCAGGTAGCGCCTGAACTACCATCGATCAGTGTCCTCAGCGGCTCCAATCTCGGTCCATACACCGCCTTCAGGGAGTCAAAGAATTCCTTGTGTTGGCGGCGTTCGGCGTAGCATTCCATCTGCTTCGCCTTCTCCGTCCACCATGCATTATTAATGCGACAGAGCTCTCGGGTCAGTCGCCGTCGAAGTTTGCGAAACTGACTACTCTTTCCCAAATCACTGGGGTCTGCAACATGTGCAGCAAATGCTGCATTCTTCTCCGACACCAATGCGCCGATCGTCGCAGTGTTCTCATCAAACCAATCAGGCCGCTTACAGTTTGCGCGCCCGATGGTCTCCTCGGCAGCAGCTGTCACCAGGTCGCGAATGTGGTGCCACAGGTCGCCCACTGTGGCTATGCAGTCCACATCACCACACAGGCGTGCAGCCATCGTCTTCTCCAGCTCAATACGTTTCGCCACAGTACCGAGGGAGAGAATGTTAACTTTACGCCGATTCACGGCGTAGTGCAATACAAAGATTTACGAAAATATATGTACAGTTTGGTCCGCACCAACTTGTGATCAGTGCCACACTCAGCTCCACGCGGTACACGTGTCATGCGCACTTCACGCATATCACGCTGACGTAGGATGACATAGTCGAGCAGGTGAGCGTGACCACTCCGTGGGTGCGTCCAAGTTGCTATATCACTCGCACTCAGTGCAAACCGAGTGTTCGTGATCGTCAGGCCGTGAGTGGCACACAGTGAGAGCAGCCTGTCACCGTTCGCATTCGCTGAGCCAATGCCATGCGGACCGACAACATCTGTCCACGCTGATGCATCACGCCCAACGCGCGCGTTGAAATCACTCAGCAGGAATAGTCGGTCGCTCCTCGGCACAGATCGTATCACGGAGGATAGCCCAGTGTAGAACTGATCACGAATGTCATCAGGATAACACATGGTCGGACCGTACGTGCTTATAAAGTAGCAAACTTACCTATTCAGAGTCGTAGGCGAACAGTCATCAGTCGCGCGCTGATGCCCGTTGGTTCACCCACCAGCTGGCCATGGAGGCGATCGGATATTGCAAATCCGACCCCATGTTCACGTGGTGCTGAGGCGGCGTTGCCCACCCAGTAGAATGTGTAGCCAGCACCTGCTTCACGCAACTTACCTCGCTCAGCGAGCCGGGTTTCACCGAGCACCGCAATATCGATGTTGTAGCGCGCCAGCTCCATCGCGACCAGTGCAGTGCGTCGCTCCGAGCGCTCGCTGGAGTTCCGGTTCAGTAGTGTGCGCACGTTCCAGCACCCGATGCTGAGTGCTTTGCGCGCAGGTATACGATTGCATTGGTGGGCAATCGCACGCGAGATGGTCGTTGTGCTTCGGAGGTTTGCTTGATGAACTCTACCCGGAGCCTTTGGCTCAATAGCCTGACCCACAAGGCAGTGGGTGGTTTGGAGGTTTGCTTGAGGGACTCCACCCGGAGCCTTTGGCTCAATAGCCTGACCCACAAGGCAGTGGATGGTTTGGAGGTTTGCTTGAGGGACTCCGCCTGGAGCCTTTGGCTCAATAACCTGACCCACAATGCAATGGGGAGCAGATCCAGCTCGGGAATGTGATTGCAGAGACAGATTGGGATCTGCTTGACGGCCGTCACACGCAGTCTTTAAGGTTCTAGAACGTTTTATATGTGTTGCGACCGTAGTAGGATACGCACCTGCGACCACGACCAGACGCAGGTCGGTTTTGGCGGACTTGCACCAATTTGACCAGGGGCTGCCTGGCTTGAGGCGGGCAGTAGCAAACCATTGAACACCCGGGGGTGTCCTCCCACCGTCAGAGACAATGCGTGGCGCTCGTGCTCTACGCCAATCGAGCTGTGAGCTTACAACCCGTAGTCCTGTTGTCTCCCATGACTAGGTTTTACGGGAAGTGGGCCATCGACCACTTCCTAATCTCCGAAGAGGATGGACTAGGATACTGGCAGGGCGCCCAATCCTGACAGGAGAACGACTCGCGTCCTCAGCCAAAGCCTTCGATTAAATGAACACCCGAAAGGCAGCGGGTCTAGCACATGGTCAGTTCACTGACTCATGTGGATTGGTGTCCTGGATCTTAGCAGGGAGAAGGGCGAAACCCAAATCCCACCCAGCGGTCGCCACGAGAAGGCGCCCAGGATATGGGCAAATGGCCCAACAGTAGCAGCAGTGGGTAGACCATCTGTCAGGATCTAGCCACCACCAGCCTCAGCGCACCATAGGGTCTTCCACCATATATATATATATATATATATATATATATATATATATGAGTATCCTCGTCGAATTCATTCGGTATACATATATACATGGATTGGCGTCATCCGTGTCCAATGGCAGTTCGAATACAACATATGCACATGCGCTTGTCCAGACTTAAGTATGAACTGCCACAAACTGGATAGAGACACATTAGACCTCATGAACAATAGTACTAACAATGTGTATGTGTATCGTTTGGAGGTCATGAGAATAAGTATCCAAGACGAACTTTTGGTGTTTTCCTTAACATTTAGGCGTAACGGCATCCATATTTTAATGAAACCGATAAAGGAGTAGGGACGCAAATGCCATCAGTACGGTTACCAGGTAGAATGAGTAATAAACAAATGGTACAGTAAAATAGTGTGTACTTAGGTGTTGCCTCCTATATACACAATCTGGTTTGCGTATCTGATGTCGAAGATCGCACAGCGTGCGAATGCGGTTGGATGTTCACTTCAATCACTCCATGTCGCTGATCGGCCCGATCATCTGCTGCCCGAGGTATGATGGTTGCGCAACCTTAAGCATTGACAGGTGTCAATACCACATATTCGCCGCTTACGGCCTCATTGGAGGGACAAACAGAGTCATTCTATATCAACTAAGTACCGCTGCTCACTGTCAAGCATGCGGCTTTCTAAACAGTGTGTGCACTGTTTTGCAAATGTTCAAGACGTAGCATGGTTGTCATCGAAGTACTCAACCGTTTGTACATACCGCTGTGTACTCTGCTGTGGCTGAGCTATTTTGTAACGATCTCCATCGTACATCTCGGGTGCAGCCATTCAGTACTCCTAAAACGATTGTTGCTATGTGCCGATTCATTTCCGATGTAATATACTAAGACAGTGACGTACCATTACCATTGGCATTACCTTTTTCTTAGTCTATCCAGAAGACTGGCCATGTCCAACTTAACTTCTGATTAGTGCCTCTGCGCTTCCGTCTTCAATCTGCTTGGTAGTTGCGTTTTCACAAGCACCGGTAAATTCAGTATAGCTGATGAACAACGGGAAATAAAGCTATGCTCACTCACATCATTCATTGGCGGGTTTGTTCAGTTGTCACGGATTTTCCCCGGGTAAATTCTCTTCGTGGTCACACGAGGGACAATGGTTGAGCATTGTGTGCTCAAGATGTCAAACTGTACACTTTATGTGTACTGTGAGCGGCCAAGCGATGGCAACCCTTGGGTTCACATGTATCCATTGAATTGTAAACATACTCAATAATTTGCCACCCTAGCATTGATCCGTATCAACAGCACATTTCGCTCGAAAACTAAGTGCGCACGTCAGATACGAAAAAGCACATGGACAGACTGAAGCATTAGTCTGCGACACCGACTTTGTAAGCGTCGCGTTAGTTAGCATAGGACTTTTGGTCAAGCTAGGGTCATGTAATCTACAAAACGATTTCAAGGAGCAGAATGTAGGTAGCATAGTCTGGTGAGCAATACCATGGTGCTTACATAGTCATGTGAATCGTGGCCGAATAATAATAGGAAGAGGAAAGATGCCGTAGCTCACTGTCTCGGTATGTCACCGAGAAGGTAGCAAGGGTATAGTAGATCATGATGAGTACAACAGTGTAGTGGGCAACACGTGAAATAACCGTGAAATGCAACCGAGTTAGGTAAGCCCTATAAAGGTAGGTTAGATGTGACTCACCCGTTTTAGGTAGGTGTAATAAATATACTATGTTGCAACAAGTCAGTGGTTAATCATCCTAGAGTGAAACTGTACCCAAGTGCGACTTACATGCGAGATAGAGGATAAGGATGACACAAAGATGACGGAGATGGAGTAAGCAACTTTACAAGTTAGCAGGGAAATGGTGCGATAAAGTCCACTGATTTTTCTAAGCTCAGCTAAGTTAAAGTCCGTGGTGAAAGAACGGACAGGATTTATAGCTGTGCTCACTTTAACGAATTAGTAGAAGCATAGCGGAGCAGTGATGGCTGGTGTGTACTGTGAATGCTGTCTCCTATATTAACTGTAGGCTACCCGTGTCGGAAGGTAAACCAGAGCCGGTTATGACCGTCGCTTTTCCGAGGTGAGCGTGATAAGGAATAGCGTAGCGTAGTGGCAGCGTGCGGGATTGCCACCCCGGCTGCCTGGATGCAGCAACTTTTGTACTCGCACCGGTGGCATATAGAGTAGATTTGGTACGATACAGTGAGGCTTGCAATGGTTTCTGCGCAAGGATAACATACAAAAGTTAAGACTTTACAGTGGTTCTACGATGTAATATGCACAGGAAGGCTTCTCCGCATTCCTAAAACATTCTTACACCTTGTTCTAGCTTCGGATGGAAACCAAGTTTACATATCTTGCAGTCTATATCCACGTAGTCACCACAAGTTCAGACGGGACTGGAACGATAGGATTATCCCGTGAGTGTTCTTCCTTCAGGGGGTCGCTGAAACAGTTGGCAGACTTTGAAATACTGATGGACCTAAAACAAATGACTGCATCACACCTTGTCCAACCAATTAATGCCCACGTATCCTGCCCTAGTTGGCTCTGTATCTAGTTGATAGACTGTTGAGATTACATACTGCCTTAACAGTCCCTGCTGGACCGGTTACGCGAAGTAAGAAAAAGAAAAAAGTACACAGCAGGCAAAAGAGAAAGTGGAAAGAGCTAAGCAAGTAGAATACCAAGATATTTGAGTCATTAAAAAACTGAAAAGTGAAGGTAAGTCAACTAGGAAAAAGAAAAGGTTTGCTGTTGCCACCCAAGAGCATCGAGCTGGCATGCAGAACCCTTAACCGTAGGTTCCCTAACCACATGATCTGGAAGCGAATTCCAGCGATCTATAACTAGGCGCGATAGACGAGTTTCCGTCCTAATCCCATCAGACCGTGGTTTATGCAGTTTCAGTAGGTGACCGCGGAGATTAGATACCGTAGCGGGACTAAACAGCCCTGACAAGTCCGAGCCGATTTTACACGTCAAAATAAAAAAGTGAGAATCAGGTCCCCTCATATCCTTCGATAGTGCACTGAGTACATCCCCAAACTGAGCAAGCGTTCAGGATATGTGCCTCCTCGTAAACCCTGCACTAACCGAGTGCCCATTCGTAACACTCTATCTAAGTCCATTTTGTCTCGGATAAGACATGGTGGATAATCCTGGATACAACATCCCAGATGGCGTCGGACGAATGCCGAGAACAACTTCAGAAACAAATTGGCCGTTAAAATTCCGAAAGTGCGGCGGGTAGACAACATCATAGGAAACCCCCGACAAGCAGCCTTCTTCCAATTGTTGCCAGAATGAAGTGCTGATGCGTGTACGACTCCGAAATCAACCTGCTGAGTGACAACAGGGAGTTCACCACCGCCGACAACATATCGGGTGGGAGGATTTGCAACTCCGATTCGGAGAACAGCCCTATTTATGGACATCAAGCATAAGGTAGACCATTCTCAGAGCCTATCCAAGGCATGCTCAATTGCCTAAGGACCCCCGGGATTTCCACAATATTCCAGAGCTTAAGGTCGTCAGCAAACATTAGTGATGACACTCCTAGCTCTCCCGGCAAGTCACTTACATAGATCGCGAACAACAATGGCCACAATACCGAGCCCTGCGAGACGCCACCAAGGACAGCTTGCCTGAGCGAAAGTCGACGCCCCACCCGTACGCACTGTTCCCTCCCCTCAAGGAAGGCAGACACCCATTGAAGGGCGCGACCAGATATCCCGTAAGATCTCAACTTTAGTGAGAGCCGACGATGTGGAACAGTGTCAAAAGCTTTCGAAAAGTCCATGAATAGCACGTCTACAGCGTGGCCACTGTCTACCGCTTCGACCCATCTTTCACGAGCTACAAGTAGATTAGTCTGACATAAAAATGCTTTGCGGAATCCATGTTGCGCAACACTGAGAAGGTTGAATCTATTCAGGTGGTTCTCCACTGAATCCCTTATCAGCTTTTCAAACAACTTGACTACTACGCTTGTTAAACTGACAGGCCGGTAGTTCGCGCGCAGAGCGCTATCACGGCCTTTAAAAATCGGACAGATGATTGCCTCCTTGCATTCCGAAGGTAGGACGCAGCTGTCAAGGAATATTGAAAACACAAATGTGAAAGGACCACTCAGCTCAGTGGCCAATTCATGCAACAGCTACGGACGAATTGAATCAGGAGCGGAAGCTTAAGAGGGATTAATGCCCTGCAGTAGCTCGAAGACCTGAGCCTCCGTTATGCTATATTCAGCTAAGCAAGAATCCTCTGGAACACTTGAAACCAATTCAACCTGCGATAAAGAGGTCTCCCGAGCAAACACCGCAGTATACTGATCACTAAGTATACAAGTCTTGTCATAGTCAGTTTGCGCACGGGTTCCGTCTGCCCGCAATAACGCTGGTATAGACAGTTTTGCCCCGCTGTGTCTTTTAGTGTAAGCAAAAAAACTTCCTGGGATTAGCTGTGGCCGAGTCCGCTAAACCCTGCTCGTACTGGAGACGAACAGTTTTGAGATGTTGCTTACATTTATTTCTAATCTCTCGATAACTATTATAGGTACTGGCTGATGGAGCTGCTTGATAGATTCGCCAGCATCTAGACCGTTTCTTGAGTAGATATTTGCCTGTCGTATCTATCCAGGGAGGCTGTGCCTTTAACCATCTTTTCCTCATGAGTGGAATATAGAGATTGGAAACCTCCGTAAGGTATGCCTTAAATTTATCCCAGGTTAAGTGGACATTCAGCCATCGAGATCTCACAGTTCAGAACTGAAGCCTTACCTCGTATTGCACTAAAGTCCGCCCGCCAAATATTCGGGAGTAATTCAACAGCGGTCTGTTAATGCCCTGAAAAAGCACATCGAAAGGTTATATGCATACGTGATCGCTGGACCCTAGAGGAGCACCTTATGAAACGTCAGTCACGAAGTCCAGGGACTTAGCGAAAACCAGATGTAAAGTAGGTGGTATTTGGTAGTCCATACACCTAGTAGGGAAGTCCACGAACTTGCGCAAAGGCACTTGGAGAGTCAGCTCAAGAAAGTCTCCACCGAGTGTTCTTGACGCCGAATTGCAAGAAAGATCGGCCCAACAGACTTCCGGTAGGTTGAAATCCCCTAGAACTAAACACTTATTTGCAGACTGAGTGCGAATAAAGTCAAGTATCCCCTGGAATGTGCAGGTCCTCAACACACCTAAGTTACAGCTCACATACAGTACAACGCCTCCGCTTCGACGACCAAAGTAGCAGCGCGTAGCCAGGTAAACATATCTCACCGTCCGTGATATCCGGATACAAGCACATTTCGGTGAAAGCAAGTATATCGGGACGAGATTTGTCTACAAGTAGACCCAACTCGTGCACCTTGTTCCTTAGGCTATGCACGTTGCTAAGTACTACCTCAAGGAAGGCACGACCATCCCTGGGTCGTGCGCCATCAGGAGGGGTTCTGAGGGCGGTAAATAACTTCCGGCTGACCACCTGAAAACCCACCAGGCGGAGGCATTGGTCACCAGCCGCCCGTCTAGTTTTGAGGTGCTTGATATCCTCCTTTAACTTCAATCTATCTGCAAGTGGTAGGTCCGGCTGAAAGCTGGCACCACTAACCATAATTATGAATTGAATTCGCAGTAATGACTTGCGTTCCTCCGGGGTAGAACGGACCACGCGAAGTAGTCGCGGTCGTGGATTTGGCGTAGCGATAGGCACGTTCCCCAATCTGATCAGCTTTCTGAGTGAGAACAGGGAAGTCAGGAGGAAGCAGTTTGCTGAAAAGTAGCCTTAGATTCGGATTCAGATGGACTGGAACGATGGGAAAATCCCTTGAGTGTTCCTTCTTGAGCAAATTGTTGAGCCAGGAAATGATAAGGTGCTAGTTCTTGATAGATCTAAAACGAAACACCCGAAACACACCCTGATCAACCAATTTCTGCCCACGTTCCCTGCACTAGCAGTCCGCGCTGTGTAGGTTACGTGAAGAAAGAAGTAGAAAGTAAATGGAAGATAAAGGGGAATGAAAGTCAGTAAAATGAAGGATAACACCAAAGAGTGAAGAGAATGAGAATAAGAATTAAAAGTTTGAAGATGGATATGGTCAGGAGAAGGGAAAGGTTTCGTGTTGCCACTCAAGAGCGTCTAACTGACGCTCGAAACCTTTAACCGTAGGTTCACTGACTACACTTTCTGGAAGCGAGTTCCAGCGCTCGATAACTCTACGCGATAACCGAGTTTCCGCCCTGATCCCGTCAGAACGCGGCTTGTGTAGCTTTATGGGATGGCCGCGAAGACAAGGCAACCTAGCCGGACTA